ATTGGCTTTGAGGGGGGATCAACATCCAGAGGAAATGAGGGCCTGGTTTGGCATAAAAGGAAGTGATAAAGTATTGGGAAGAAGTACTATTGACTTATGAATTTGCAGGATAAGATGCTGGAGATATTTTTAGTGGACCAGAAGAACAGATTAAATGATTTCTTTGTGAACACAATCTAAAACTTCTCAATTGTTGCTTTGCTTGGAGGGATGGAGAGGAGGAAGCATGTTCTAGAACACACTAGGAAAAAAAACTCACCAAAACTTTTCCTGTCATTTCAGGATAATATTAAAACCCCTGAAGAGGGCAGGAGCCTGTTCTTCAGGAACAGTCCTTCTGCCATGGAGCCCTTTCCCTTGGACTCTGCAGCACATATGAGAGGGTGCTGATATGTAGCAGCTGCTTACTTATTTTCTCACTCCCAAGCCTGCCTCTCTGCCTTCGCTCTGTCAATGCCTTGACTTGCATTCTTAGTGATTCTGTTTCAGTATCCATCCAGGCTGAGCCGTGTGTCAGTTCACACAGCGTCTGTTTTTAATTATCTCCCTTTTCTGACGGGATCTCAGTGTTAAGCCAAACTGAATAATTATCGTGCTTCTTTGGAGATATTTTTATCTTTTTTTCTCCCCAAGTGTTTGCTTGCACATTAAAAATTGATCAGAGTCTTGAGGTGGTTGCTTTGCTAGCAGTTTCTAAGATTCTTGAGGATTTATTACTGCATTAGAGTGAGAGGCAAGGTCTCTTCATTTTACATATGGCTATGAGAATTGCTTTTCCATGAGAAAATATTTGGTCTTCACTTAACCCTTCCTGCTAGATTTTATGTTTGTTTCTTCAGTTCATCAGAAGAGGCACTATGAAGAGAAATATGATAGTGGTATTAATGCTGTGACTGGAATGGTGTCCAGATGTATGGTCAAGTCTGTAATTAGAAGCAGTGTCTGTTGGTATCCAAACTGATATAGCTGTGGTGGGCAGGGGGACAGACAAACGTTTGGGCGCTGAAGTCCTTAAGTCTGGAACAGATGGAGAAAACTGAACTGAGAATAATAGCTATTGTTCTATGTTAATTATCTTGAAGTATTGGACAATTATTTTTGACTGTTGATTTGAGAGGAAGAAGGTAGTTTGCTGTTGGGGGGGGAGAGAGAGATGTGATTATGGCCTGTTGAAATACTGAGGATTATCTGGAGCAAAGGGATGGAGAAACTTGTGCTAAATGTTAATGCTAATATACCTATTGGATCTCTGAACTATTCCCAGTTAGGCACATCAGCTTCCAAACTTTGAAGCAGTTGGAATTTCACTTGAGACTTGCAAAAAGATTGAATGAATGTTTTGTGAAAAGATACTCTTCCATTGCTAATGTGATATCTGTTTGGCATATTTGTGTGAATTCATTCTAAAGCATGATGGTCGCCTGTTTCACTCCCAAGGCTTCTGTGAGTGCATCTGGTGAGGGAAGTAGGGTATGTGAAGTCTGATGCTTTTGTTCAGAACAGAGTGGGAGCATTTACTGTGACAGTTGAAGAAATGGCTTGGCAAATCTTGCTTTGGTTGCTCTGGTGTGGTTCTAGTTATCACATGTTGGTTTGTGGGAAGCAGTTTAGCTCTGTTCACAAAGAAAACCACAGGGAGCACAGTGTGCTCCCAACAGATGAGGAAACATCAACGGGGGAATTGAAGCAGCCTGTGTAGATAAATGGGAGATTGAAGGACATAGTAGGACAGATAAAGATGAGAAGAGTAAGTCATGGTCTTGCTCTTATCTGCCCATGCTTTCTCCTCTGCACAACTGATTCTTTATTTCCTTCCACTTCCCTAGCTGTCATTCCACTGTCTTATCTCTGCTCTACTTCCAGACAAACCCTATTTTTCCCATATTTTTTTCCTCCCCTTTCTTCCTTCCTACTCTTAGATGTGTCCCAAACACAGAACCCTTTGTTCTAAATAACCTACTCAGTTATGTGCTTCCAGGTTCTCCTTTCACAAGAGACTCGTTTCCCACCTGTCCTCAAAACTGAATCCTTTGTTCCCTTATATACCCGTTTTAGTTTCTTGCCTGCTCTTTACCCTTTCTTTTCATTAGGTTGAGCATAAACTCTTGAGAGCGTGACCAGACTGTGTGTGTGTAAAATAAAAAAAAAAAATTAAAAAAAAAAAAAAATTGGAAACAAAGGGGACAAGAAACAGATATTGTTCTTGCCAATTTCCTCCTTTCCCTTGGACACTTCCTCAGTTTCAAATCGGATATGGTGGGAATCCAGTCCCCAGCACTTGGATTCCTCCTGAATATCACCTTACAAAGCACTGATCTCCTTATCTTTCTACTCTTATTACCAGGAAAAATCTGAATATGAGCAAAGCTTGATTAGCTCAACAGTCAAATGCTCTGTGAACATCGCAAGCCTATTCCAAAAGAGAGTTCTCAGTACACAATCAAATACCTGCTACCTACAAAGAAGGCAGTTAGGAGGTTGTGGTTCCTTAAGAATAGCACAAACTTCTGGTGTGTGTTTGTTTGTTTTCTAAAGCTCAGGGTTGTTGGTTAATTCATACCTAACAGATACGATTTTTGAATTATGAATTATGAAGAAAAATGTGTAATGAAATCACATGAAGTCCACTTGATCTTGAAAACATCTGGAGCTTTTGCTGGTAGCTTTAGTTGAGCTGAGATTTCTCACAATCTGCTTCATTCCTTTCTTCCCATCCAGGTGAAGTCAAAAGGTTACTCCGGTTCCAAAAGGATTCACAGTGTTTTTAAGGAAGCAATAAGGATGCTACAAGAAAAAGGGGTGGTTTTCCAGAAACCTAGTAGCTCCAAAGACTTATACCATGTAAGGAACTGAGCTGTGGTTGCAAACAAGTTCAGGGGTATGACTTTCATAGTCAGCAGAAACAGTAGAAATGTTTCAGAAATAGAAGCTGGACATCCAAGTGCTGTCTGCTGACTCAAAAGTCTTATCTGCAGCTTGCTTCATTGTGTCTTTTACCTCTGTATCACCCACTGAGTTATTCGTTTTGTAACTCGGCACCAGACTTCAGCACTGGTGCTGTTCCAAGCGCAGTCTGTGTTCACTGGGTTGCCAAACTGTGCACTGAAGCGGCTGAGCACAGTGAAGCCTGGGACCTGGGACAGTTCATTATTAGTCTCAGAGGCAGTATATGATGCAGACTGTAGTTATGACAGTGTTAGTTTAGAATATGTCCTGGCCTTGGATTGCTTTTCAACAGCCATGCCATCTACTGTGAAATACACTGCTATAAATTGACAGTTTCTTCTGTTTTCTCCAGGTGACTGACCATGATAAGGAGCTGCTTAAAGTCACCCTTGATGTGATTAAAGAAGACTGTCGAAAACCCAGGCGTAAGTAGCAGTGTGACCAGAGCTCTGATGAGCTGGAGCTGATATATTGATGACAGTATCTCCCTTTGCTCTGGATTAGATACGCTTCTTGTCCTTACCCTTGAACTCATAGCTACATTGCTGGCGTAGCTAATCAGTATAGCTAAAAGTGGGACTGCAGGAGCAGCTTCCTGTGAGCATGGAGAGAGAAAAAGGGCAGGTGTGCCCAGCAGGAAGCAAACTTCTCAGATCTGAATTAAGCAGCCATTATCGTAGATTTGTATCTTTTGAGAACACAGATTTTGGGAGGAATTAAATGTAGTGAAGTTAGGTCAGCACCTAGCAGCTGTTGCTTTGTGCCCTGGATAAGTAGCAAATCTTGCTAGTTCGGTTTCCAGGAGGGAGTTGACACAGAAGTGACTATATAGAAAGGTGAAATCCCCACCTCCTTTAAGTCAACAATAAAACTTACTGAAGTCAGTGTGATACTCTCTGTAGACTTTAAGCTCAGGTAGAGCTTAGGTGGTTGTTCTTTGCAGGGATTTCAGTCTAACAAAATCCACTTTGTTATCCCTGTCCCTCAAGCCTATTGTGTCTCATTGCCATAGTGATAGCTTGTGCTTGACTTGAATGTCTGCTAATTACACAGGTACATTGCTACAGAGTTTCTTTCAATTCATTGGGCAGAATGCATCAGCAGGGATCACTTGCTGTTGGAGTGCAGCTATTTGTGGGGTAGAATGCACTTTAGTACAGAATAAAAGGCTGACTAGAACATAAGGCATATAACCTTTAAGTGCTCGTATCGTTATGCTATCATAGCTGTAATAGTGCTTGTAGGACCTGGTATATGATGGTTATCCTGCAGTGAAAAAAGGTTAAGTGAAGTAGTATTACTTTTGAGTTTTCAACTGACTGCCTTAAGCAGTGGTACAATTGTAGACAAGGTTTGTAGGTGGAGGTAAAAGTTCTGTATCTTTGGGGGATGGAGTTAGATGTTACTGGGCATGCAAATGAAGATGGGCTTATTTGCCTAAGTCTGCTTTAGTGCAACAGGTTACCATATCACATTGCTTTATTGTCTTTTGTCCAAGTAACAAATACAAACACTTTCTCCGTAAGAGTCAATTTTATACATCAGCTAGTTCTTCTGGGAACCCGTGGGGTTTTTTTAATATATACAGTTGTGCCACTATAAAGGCCAGAACCTGTATACAGTTGACACAGGGGACTCAGTGACTGCCTAGTGGTTAACTCCTCTCTTGTGCATTATCACACTGGTAAAGTACTCTTGGTGCTCTGTGAGAGGTTTGGAAGGTCTTTCTACCAGGAGGAGTAAACAGCAGAGAGAAACTTGTAGATCAGTCACAGAAAAGACTTTGAAGAGTCCTGAGTCCTCAAAACCATGTTTTCTGTACTGAGCAGGTTAAAAATAGCAACTGCTTTACAGATCCTCTTGTTCTCCTTGAAGCTTTCCATCTACTTAGTTTCCTGATGTAAAGAGAACAATTTCCAGGTCAGTGTCTCTTTGCTAGTTTTCAGAAGGACCGTTTCAATATCCTGGTCATTGGTAATAAAAGGTTTTGAGAAGGAGAGTCAGGAAGCTTCAATCAAAACCAACAGGGTACTACTGCAGATATTTTATTGTCACTGAATGATGCAAGAGCGCAGAGCTCAATGTAACTGTCGGACTCCCTCTGCTGGTGGGATATCGGTCCTAGCCACCCGCTTGGCCTTGACTAGTGAGCAGGCTCCTAGTGAGAAAATAAGAACTTGGTAATACCTCAAGGGCTTTTGCTTGTTTCTTGCAAGAAATTCCTACCCTTTTTCCTTGAAGAGTAATATTAATCTTCTGTGACAGGAAGACTGATTTATGGTAAACCGAGCTCTTCTCTCCAATGAGATACTTCTCTGCCAGTTTTCAAGGCAATGCCTCACCCCATTGCTTGAGTTGTGACACATTCTCAAGCCCAACCCAGCTGCTTGGAACTATTGTACAACTAAAAAAATCCTCAGTGTGCCTAGTCGGAGCTCCACAAACCCTGACCTGTAATATGCCTACATGACAATCCTAGTCCTTGGCTCCAGTTGTAATTCCAAACAGCCTGATCTTAAATGCCCTCACATGTGGCCACTGTGGGTCTGTCTAGAGGCTTAAGATAGCCAGAAAAGGTTGACAATACATTTTGACTCCAGACTGAACTGCAAAATGGTAGACTTAGTCCAGATTTGTTTTGTTTTCTTTTTTGACGAATTTGCTCTGATTTTAGGCTTAGATGAGGCCAATAGTAGAGAGGAAAACAACAGAACCACTTGAAGTTAAATTTGTCAGAACGGACCCTGTGTAAGATGTCCACAGTGGGCAAGTGGTAGTTGTTCTATAACTGTTCTCTCTGATGCTGGTAGTCGGGCAGGACAGTTAATCACCGCCTGGCTTACCTCAGCTGGTGGACAAAAGCTATAACCCAGTATGTCAGTGAAAGAGGGACAGCATCACTCCACTGCAAGAAGTGTATTGCCTCAATGTCTGGACGCAGACTAGGAGTGGGTTTGGGTTACTTAATGATTGTGCACACTTGCAGCTACCCCAAAATGCCATTTTCTACCAGCATCTGGGAGGAAAGTATGTATTGTCTTGTTGGGTAACACTTGAGTCACTAATCCAGTTCACTGAGACTTAAGCTAAGTTACTATAGATCAGGGATGGGCACTTTGACCTTCTTATGACAAACTTATGACTAATGCAAAATGCAGCTACCAACAGTCACTATGACCAGGTAGAGGCATTGTTCTGTTCTCTGCACTTAACTGTCCTAGGGTGGTGATTGCATTTTTTGGCTACCAGCCACAAAAGTCTTTTATCGTGCTGCATCACTGACTTCTAGAGAAATATCTTTGTCTGATTCACAGCCTAATAGGAATTAGGCCAAACTGTTTATCTACCAGTACTCAGCATTGCCTCCTGTCTACCAGTGACTTTTCTCAGCAGCTTCTAAGGCAGTTCTCGTGCTCAGGCAATTCTAGAGTAGAGACTGGGAAAAATAAAAATAAAGGCAGCAAAACAAAACACAGGGACCTCTCTAGCCCATGGCAATTTCTCAGTACCCTTATCAAACTTACATCATGTGAGCTGAGGGCTTCAGAGAAGGAAAGTAATTTCGTGCTGATGCGTCTCATTTATGCTAGTTTTCCATCATTAGCCACAGAGGAGAAAAAAAATCTGTTGTGGAGTTCAGCACTGGGGGAGACTGGGAGCCTGCAGCACTGATGACAGTGGGGTTACAGGGTCTGTCGGAGGAAACGTTGACTGGGACTGCTGAGCTTCAGATGATGGCTCCACCAGGCATACAGTAGCTGCATGCAACACTGCAGTGATTAAGGGCCTTTGTCTCTGGCTTGCCCTCTAGGAAAGGGGATTATTTTTACATTTCTGTTCTCTTGTACATTTTCAGGCTTCATTCCTCTGAAAAGGAGATAAAATTTGATACTGAAGTTCTGTAACTTTCTATTCCTGTAATTGTCTGAGTAGTCTGAAGTGCAGGGAGGGGATTGCATTGCTAGGTGAATTGAAGTTGTGCTGTAGCAGTTTTTCCACAAGATGCCAGCATTGGGTAAGCAGTTACAGATCCTGGCAACAGACCTGTTCTAGACATTTTTGAAGTTGGATGTGAGCAAAAGGATTTCCATTTGGTTTCTTCTGCAGTTGCAGAAACTGGATGGCTTGCATAGGTGAACAGTGGAGGCACCTTTAAGTTACTAACCTCATCATCAGGTTGTACTGAATGAGCCTTGTATATTAGAGTTACAGCCTTGATGCTTCCCAGAAAAGTCAGTGGGAACAGTTGATAATTGGAGAACTGTAGGCACAGACTGGATCTCTTCCCTCTGAGTACATGCATCTCTGCTTTATTACCTAGGGCATTCTTCCTCTCCCACAGCTGTGGGTTTTTTAATGACTGATCTGGATTATAAGAGTTGAAAAGAGGCAGTTAGACTGAAGTCTTTTCTTCATGCCTGGCTGCATTTCTCTTTTTTTCTGCAGATGCTGAAAAAGGCTGCCATTTCCTTCATGTCCTGAGTTGTATTCGGCAGAGCTACAACCCCTCCCTGGCTGAAGTGGTGATGCACCGTGTCTTGGAACTGCTGGAGAGTAACAGTGATGTTGTCAGCACTATGGAAGGATATTATATGGCATTTTGAAAAAAGAAGATAAAATACATTTGTTCTGGTCCATTCAGGATAAAGGAGGGAAGAAGGAGAGGTTATGACCCTGAAAAGCTGCTATTACCTGGTATGATCTAGACAGGGGGAAAAAAGAGCATTCTGATTCTCCAAATGCTGGTTTTGTCCAGCTCCAGAGAAGTTGTCCAGATACGTGTTTTAATATTCTTGCTGACTTCCTCGCTGTTCCTTGTGAAAGTTGTGTCAAACTGACTCTACATCCTGATACAACAGAGGAACTGGAAAAGAAGCTGGGCTCTTTCACAGTAAGATGCAACATGGCCATCCTCACATTTGCATCCAGTGAGCCCTAAAGAAAAGTCACTGCTATAGAGTGTTGTTTACAGCAGTGGTCACATCAGGACTTGTTTTTCTGGCTTAAAGAGTGATCTTGTGATCTTTCTATATGGTAATGGCTGTGGATCTTTCTTTTTATGTATACTTTATAATAGCTAGACAAAGAGCATGCAAGCAAACAATCAAAACATTTTCCTGTCCTTCCTGGCAGTGTTGGTGTACCCACGTCTATAAATACATGTTCTTGAATGTGCATAGCTTTCCCACTGCTAAAGCAGTCCTCACCTTTCCCTGAAAAGTAATATTCAGGAATGGGGTCCTGCATCCCTTCCCTATCCTGCAACCTTTTCCACTGCTTGTCAAGCATGCCTCGATTCCCCTGGCTACTGTGTGCTACTGATGCATGTTGTTGTGGGTTTTGTTCAGACCGGAATTCTCAAAATCAGCCACCGTTTTGCTGTTTATTTTAAAATTGCTTCCTAAATCACAGATGGTAAACCATAAATCAGGTGCTTTGGAAAAGAAAACACAAAAGCCAGCAAGACCCACTGTAATCTCCATGCTCCCTGTTGCCTTTTGTCTTCTATTCTGTGTCACCTTTGGGGAAAAGTACTATCCGTATCCGTGCTTGCAGAGGAACACAAGACACTGATGAAATAACATTGGCCTGAAGAAGGTTACCATGCAAGACGCTTGGTCTGGAATAATCACACCTCTTATGTGCCACAGTTCAAAGCCCGGAGCTGTTCAGTATTTATCCGTAGAGAGGGCTTGCTGCTGCAGGGGCTTGTCTGTTTAATTAATGGTGTGGAGGTGAGACCTTTAACTTGAAAAGAGTAGAAAGGATTGAATGTATCCTTCCTCTTTTCTCTGCACCTTCCCTGTAACAGTTGAAATAGCAGACTCCCAGGAGGCAAATGTAGCGGTAAAGCCCTATAAGGATTGACATAGCAGGGAAAAATAAACCATGTGCATGAGGAAAGCCAGTGAGTAGCCCCATGTGTGCCAGGCCTCTGGTTTGTTGTTGTATTATATGCCTCACTCCAAGCCCTGGCTGCAGTAAGACACAGGCTAAGAGAAAGGCATGACAAAATATTTGGTGTTTGCATTCAGAGGCCTGTGGAAAACTCTGGCCTTAAAGAGGTGGTGTGTTTGTCCATAGTGGAAATCTATGAATCATTCTTTTTCTTTAAATTCCCTACTGGCTGCAGGGCTCAGTAGTTGGTTACCCTGCGCGCTGCCCTACTCCTAGTGTTGCTGCTGTTTTGATTTGGGTGCCCTCTAGTCAGATCTTAATATGGGTCTGAACAGGTGCTGAAAGGATGTACCTGTGCAGAAGGAAATCAAAGAGGATTAAGAAAGAATTGTAGACGTCTTCCCCCCTGCCCCTGAACATCTCTGGAAATCAAGGAAAGAAGTCCAGATTCTGAGTGGAGTGGTACCGAGGGGAACTGCAACTTTAATTTATGCCTACAGAAAGATCTGATTGGCCACAGGGGAGATTTGCTTTTCAGATTCCTGCTCTGATTACTGATCAGTTTGAAGTGATGCTTAAAAGCAAAGGCTATCTATGGAAGAAGTATTTTGGAATATTGATTCCTAAATTCAAACTGACTTCAGGAGTTAACCATATGTTACTGCTGATTATGGACAAGTTGCCTACTTGGCAAGAGTTTGAGGATATTGTAAAGGAAAGTATGTGGTGTCTTGGACTGCGTGGAAGAGCATGGCGCATAATTTACATGACTGGCTTGGCCATTTTCTTGAAATGTTCTGTATTAGCAGAAGCTGATTTTACTGGGAAAGGGTTAAAAGAACACTGCTAGCTCAGTGGGAAAGGTGATCTCTCTTAGGTTAGAAGAAAGACCCTGTGTCAGCCAAGTGTGTGGGCTGGGTCAGTTTTGGGAGGAGCTCTGCTCAGCTAAATATTGGAGGAAAAGATAGTCTCCAGATCATGTTGCTCTTTAGGGTCTCTTTAAAATAAATTCATACCAAAACAGGATTACATCTTTGTCCTTTGCAGCTTGTATAGTCATACATGCAGCCTCTAATGGGTTCTGTTGCCTCCAACTTTGATGCTGCACTTTCTGTGTTTTAGATGTGTTTCTGTGTGTAAAATCTGCCTAAAAAACCCTGGCCACCTATTTTCTATGCATTGGAGGTCGATGCAGACACAAAGCGTGTGCCCTCTCTGTCCTGCCCCTGTTGCAATTTAAAAGCACTGATCAACTGCAAAGCCTCAGAGATGAGGTGGGAGGAACTTATCCCAGGGAAGACAGGTAACTCTGGAAAGAACCTGTCCTTGAAAGTTTTTAAGCTGGTCCTTGCTGGCAATGCTGGACTCTTGCGATGGAGGGTGCATTCTGTTGGACATTGTTCCCCAAGGACAAGAAAAAGGGATTTTTCTTGCTTGAGTTAACTCAGGGAAGTCATGAGCACAATGGAACCTACAGTTTTTACAAGAGTGAAAAGTTAAGGTAAAATTAATGGAGGAGCAAGATTTAAGTTACACAGATTCTAATTCTGGATAACTGTATGGAATAGTTGTGCCTTAAGCTTGCATGCTTTATTTTTTCCACAGTAGCCACCCAACGCAGACTAACACTTACTCTGGTTGAGTGCATTCCCCCTCTTGTACCTACAGGGAATACCATGTGCATATGCCTGCGCAGAAGTACCCCAGCTAGCTGTGGGAGCACAGAGCTCACTGTAGGTTGATTTACCCATTTACTCAGTATCTCTACAGTATGCTTCTGTGACAGCAGTCTAGACATACCCAGATTGGTATAAGTCACCTTTATGTAAGTCTAACTACACACACTAGGCCTTTTACTGCTAATAAACTGTCTCTCTGTTTAAAGATCATATCCTTAACCAAGAGAGTCATATCATGCACACTGTTAAAATTCTTACCTAGACCACACCTACAAAATATTGTGCGGAACATTCAGTGAAAGCGTACTTTCTTGTTTTGTTTAATTTGAAAACTCGTTAGGCAACACAATTATTGCTGGTTTATTAAAGGACTTTGAAGGTGGCACTCTAATGTAAAACTGACAAGTGAGAATTCACGTTGCAGGACTGCTTCATGGTCAGTTCCAGTTTCCATAGAAACAGTTATGGCAGTAAAAGGCAGGTAAGTGAAAAGGAGTTTTTAAAAGCAGTCAGCATTTTTGTTACCTTAAAAAGATATGTTTCCATAGAAATGCAGCACATGAGAATAAAAATTACCAAATAATTTTAATATTCTATTGTAGCGAAATGTAAGGTGATTGCTTTTCTGGTGAGGAAACAGGAACAACTCTACCCTCGGTCCCCAACATCTGCTTCAGTGAGAGAAGAGTTGAAGTTGCCTTGTGCCTCAGTTTCCCTTTTTTTGTAGATTGGGGATATACAGCTCCCTGTGTAGGGCATAAGCCTCAGTTTTTCTTAATGTTAGTCATTAAAAGCTCTTGAGATCTGTTGATGGGAGCTGTTAAGAGAAGAACTCTGTGGCTATGTGGGAGAGGGTGAATGGACAGATGCTGGAGTGGGACTTAGTTCTAATCCAAGCCCCACTTTTGCTCATAGCTTTAACTTTCTCTGCCTCTCTTTCCACGCATATTGCTTTGCCTGTCTCGTCTTTTTGCTCTCCAAGTCCTATGAGGCAATGATGGTCATCCTGGTTTTATTTGTATCAAATATTTTTCCTGGAATCCTGTTCCCTCTTATGACTTAGATGACTTCTGAAAAATTCAAAATCCAGGTAAATGAGTTCTGAGTGTTCTTGTTCTCAAATCATTGGATTGTAAATTTGTACCCATGAGGGTATGTATTTTACACAAGCTACCTGGGAAGTGATGCTTTTCTTTCAAAGTAATAAATGAAAAATGTAAAGATTGGCTACACGAGTGATAGCTGTTACTTTTGTCGATCTGTCCATACTTGCGTATTCCAGTGATGAACACCATAAATAGAAGGAGTTGCTAATTCATTATTCAGAATGAGAATTCATCAATGTCAGTGAGGCATGGAGCTACATGGAGAATTACAAGACAAAGGACTGAAAGTCTGCTTGTCAAAGAAATGCAGTTTGGTTTACTCTGGGGGTAAGCTGATCTTGTGGGGAAAAGATGTGCCTAGCAAAGATTTGTATCTTTATAGTTACCTCTAAATGGGAAGGGAGCAAGTTCAGATCCCATGGGCAATCTGAATTTTGAAACTTCCTGTCAGTGTGGTGCTACGTTCTTTATTGCCATCTTTCAGCGTAGTCTGCACCCTCCTGCCCCAACCCTACAGGCTAGCAAGCAAACAAAAGTTCAGCTGCAAAGATAAAAGAATAGTTATAATAATTGGTTACCATCCTCTCGGAGCACCAGAATTACAGAAACATTTTTGTGGATGTTTATTGGCAGCAGGGAAATGCTGAGCCAGGGATCTTGGGTTTCATTCCCAGCAATGTGCCCTGTCAGGCACAGAGGCTTTCCCCCTAATTTCTTTCTTCTATTTCTGCTCTCCACTCTCTCGTCTAACTTATTACCTCTCTACTTTGTTCTCTTTTTCTTTCCGAACTCAAGTATCCTTGTCAGCATCTGGCAATTGGAAGTTTCAGTGTAATCCCCTTGCCTAACTCCTGGCACTGTTCACAGCCCATCCTGATTCCAGCAGGCTGTGCTTTGCTCCTTGTCTAGGCACCGAAAGAG